GTTTTTAGCAAAATTTAGACAAAATGTAGACTAAATTTAGACAAAATTTTTTAGACAAAAATTTTCAAGGGTTCATTTTTACCAGTGTGTTTTCTCCGTGAGTTATTTTGTCCAAAATTTTTCGGAGGTCATTTTTACCAGTGTGTTTTCTCCGTGAGTTATTTTGTCCAAAATTTTTCGGAGGTCATTCTTACCAGTGTGTTTTCTCCGTGAGTTATTTTGTCCAAAATTTTTTCCAGTGCTTATTTCCTTACCCCATAAACATTGCGAGTCACCGCAGGTGGCGAGCCAGTCCTGTGGTCGGGCGCGTAGCGCCCGACCTTCCCCCTTGGAATGTGAGGGAACTTAGAACATATACTCCCGAACAACCCTTACTCCAGAACAACACCTGCTTGAGGGCCGAAGGCCCGAAATAGTCTCATGCTGTTCTACTCCCGAACAACCCTTACTCCCGAACAACCCAATCTGACCGCTGATGGCGGTGCGCGAAGCGCCGCTGTGCACGCTAACCGCTTCCTAGCGAAGTGAGGGCCGCGAAGCGGCCCCACTTCGCTAGTGTTTTAAATATTGTAGAAACAATTTTGGGATATAATGCAAGCAAAATTTTTCTACAACATTTAGCTACCATAAATATGATTGCCACTACAGAAGAGAACTGATACAGCTACATTTTTATATGCTAACATAATAAATACATCCAGATAGTTTTCCTAGCAATTCCTAAACTTCTCACCTTCGCCACGTCACCATCTTTCTTTTCTTTTTTACTCTCGGCATCAGTTTCGGCATTTTGCTCGTCCAATGCTTTCTCATCTTCACCATCCGGAGTTTTGACGAATTGCTGGAAAAGCTGCGCCTGTTGCTTGACTTGTGTGGCCGTGGCGGAGGCTAAAGCGGATGCTTCATGCTGGACTGTGTCCGAGAATTCATTTAAATCCTTCTTCATGGATTCGTATGTCGAGAATGTCTAAATTTAGTGTTTGTATGTTTTATTATAAATAAAAATATCTGGCACAACATAATTTTACCATTGTCATGATATCAAATATCAACATAAAGCTTGAAGGCACATAGATAAAGTGCAGTTCAATAAAAATTGTAAGTGCAAAAGTATTAGCGCTCTATGTCTATAATGTCCTCATAAAGTATATGTTGCACTTCTCTTTCACCTAAGAAAATTCAACAAAATTACTGCTAGAGTTTGATACTTTTTATAACATGGAGACAGTATTGTTATTCCCCGTCTTAAATATAACTTGGTCCATAAATAGCTTAATCTTCTTTAAATCTATCTAGCAAAAATTAAATAAATTCTAGGACAAATAATCATAATACAAATCCGAGTATAAACAGACAGTAAGTTCACCTTTTCCTTAGCCGATTGAAGAAGCGAAGTGCCCCAGGCATTGGCACCGCTCAGCCACGATGGCGATTGCGCTTCGGATTCTCCTGGGCTCTTGGCATCCGCAGCCGTTTGATCTTTGCTCGCTTCGGGCACATCTTTTACCTCGGCCTCGAGATTTGGTTTCACAGGTTCTGTCATATCTAAAGTAAAAACAATTGCTTAGATCATTTCACGTTGGAACATTAAAAGCAGTGGCGCAGCCAGAAATTCTGGCTGCGCCACTGATTAAAAGAAAATGCGACAATTATATAAGTGATCAAACTTTTACACCGTCAGTACCGTTATGTGAAAATATTCACACCTCTCAGGTACTTAATAAATCGCGGGGTGTCTTAAAATATAAAGATCAATTTTTGCTTTCAAGTTCCCCATAGGCGAAAACTATAATTCATTCATAGCAAAAATTTCTCTATGTTGGCAGAATCATAGCATCTTAGCATTCTCAGGTAAAGATCATCAAGAAAATATGGAGGTAAAATATAAGAATGCCCGATATTTGAGACTAATCCCAGAAAGAATAATCCAACATCAAAAGCAACAGGTTAAATTGGCCGTTAGCACAACAGGTATGTTAACTATTCACCGCCCTATTTGAAATGAGACGTAAGAATCCGGTCGAAGCCCTTTACAGCAAGTATTGCAGAAAGCTCACCTGTACAATTTAATAGCTGATCGTTATCGGGACAAGCTTTGTTGCGTGACACTGACGAAGATGGGACTCTCTTCTCTGTCTTCCCAAATAACAACAGCGCTCACTCAGCCAGCTGGTTGTGTGTGTGCAATTGAATTGTGTGGGATAGATGGCCATACATATGCAGAGGTCATTAAAATATGAGCGCCGATTTGAATGATATTTTCAGGAATATTTCTTTTATGAGCGATATTATTTCGATGATAGATAGAGAATGGATCGAAAAATACAAATAGCAAAGCTGTGGATGTGCAACTCCGTAATTCTTGTACTATTTTGTCATAGGTATAAGCCTTATTTCAAAAATAAGACTACTCAAATAAGGCCAGGGCAAAATACATGTATAATTAATTGAAATTAATTAAAATCGATATATTTTGGAGGAAAAATAGAAATTTTAGTTCTTGCGTGATTTAGCTAAAATCACGCTGGTTAAGCCAGCGAATGTCTGCAGCCGTTTCAACATTATTGAATCCACATTCGCCAAATGATTCTGATCAAATTTTTACACTCACAAGTTAAATTTTACTAGTAGGAATACAACCCACAGACACTAGCATGCACCTACATGGGAGGTAGGCCGAAAATTCCTTTGATATTTCGACAAACACCGTTTTATAGAAAGTGCCTAACCGGATCGGCAAATGTACCAGTTTGTATTGCCGCATACCTTGCTAAGAAACCTTCTAGAAGTCTCAATAATAATAAAATTCTTATGAAAGATAAATGCATAAAAAATACGTGCATAAGTTGGACTAATATTTGAATTTAGGTTGCAAATGGTAGTGCAACATCTTTTGCAGTGTTCAGCGTGCTTTTTAGTGCAAGGCTTTTTTAGTACAAAGCTTTTTAGTGTATGTTAAAGCGGCGCACGGTAAAAACCCAGTGGCGCAGCCAGAAACTCTGTGCTCTGATTTGGTCTCTTCTACACTGCGTGCTATTTCTTTGTTAAAGCCAAAAAAAGCGGGACACCATCAGACACAGCAATGGTTAACCATAGCTTAGAAAAGAAGCTAAAGAAATTTCTAGAGCTTCTTTCGCTTTTGTAAAATTATCTATGTTTATCATTGTTGTGTCCCGCTTTTTTGGCTTTAACAAAGAAATAGCACGCAGTGTAGAAGAGACTAAATCAGAGCACAGAGTTTCTGGCTGCGCCACTGTAAAAACCCCCGGTAAACCCCCCCCCCCGGTAAACCCCCCCCCCGGTAAAACCCCCCCCATAATTTTTAAAATGGCTATTAATTGATCAAAAGTGCATATTTTTTGTTATTTTTGCCAAATTTGATGTTGCTGATTCTATATCGTGTTTTTTTCGTAATCCTTGTTTGGCGCCTTATAACAGTTGTTCGGGAGCTTAAGCCTAAGATTAAGTCCTTTAGGCCCCATATTGTTCGGGGCTCCAAGCCTAAATCCTTGTCTGGCGCCTTATAAGGGTTGTTCGGGAGCTTAAGCCTAAGATTAAGTCCCTTAGGCCCCATATTGTTCGGGGGCCCCAAGCCTAATGGCTTGTTTGGCGCCTTATAAGGGTTGGTTTAGCCCAAAATAGATGTCTAAACCTCGACATTAGAAGCCAATTTTTGAAAATTGAAAACATTAGAAGCCAAAAAGGCCAAAATAATCTTCTACTGGTTAGAAAAATTACCAAAAGGGTACCCTTTGGTGTCGAAAATGGTCAAAAATGGTTTTCGCTAAAAACATGTTTTAGGGTCCCTTATGGTCCCCTGTGAAACTTTTACTAAGTATCCATGGGTTTTTGGTGTATTTCGTGAAAAATTTCTTCACTTTCTAGAATTAATTTAAAAAATTGTGGGGGAGGGGTTTACCGGGGGGTTTTACCGTGGGGGGGGGGTGTTACCGGGGTTTTTTACCGTACCCCGTTAAAACCTTGTTTGTGACTTTTGATATTGTTTCCTCGGCAAGTTATATATTATTTTTTTCAATCTTTCAGTGATCAACATTTTTATTGGGCACCTATACAAAAACTCTTCTAATAAAATTTGTAGCATTTGCAGTTTCATGTCGATTGCCACATAGATCATCCAATATTTCTATGTAGGTCACGATATACTGCCCCTTAATAATGCTATTTTTGTCAAAAATGGTTTATCGATCTATTATATGGCAACGATCCCATGTATAACACAATATACCATAACCACGTCGCGCGCCGTTTCCTTCAATATTCGTTTGTCCACCTGTTTCTTATGGCAACTGTTTATCCTTTATTAATCAGTTATACATTCCAGGAATTTTTCTTAAGTGACCTTTTTCTTTTCAAATTACATGGTAACCTGACTAGAGTACACACTCGCTTTTTGACTATATTGGCTATAATTTTGACGTAAGTGTGTCTATGTCAACTTTTTCGCTAGTTTCCCATTTCATCAAAATTCTTATCCTGTAAAGCTATTTTTGCCTCCAAAAGTTTGGATTTTGAAACTTCATTTTGACCATTTTGCCACTGATCAACATGTTGACGAGTGTTTTCATATAATATTCATCAACACGTCAACATTCCATCAAACTTGACACGAATCGTTTCAGGTAAATGTTTGTCAGGTAAAAACTGATAAATTCCCTTTGATGGGGACAAATATCGACATAGAATCAGTATAGCAGTCATTGCATCAACACACCAATCGTCAACAATTGCATAGTTGTAACCCTACATTAAATGAGTGAGCGATGTTTTGCTGAGAAAGTGTTCTAATGGATTTTCTTTTGGTTCCTTGCTCATAAAAAATTATCAAAATTTAGCCCACAATATATTCTAAAAGAACATGCTCCTGAAGAAACCGGAGAGATATTGATGTCCGGGTGAGTTATTTGTACAGGTACAGTGTTGTCAAGGAAGAGATCGAGACTGAGGTCTCATTTTATTATTAAATTTTAACAGGAAAAATTTGGCACCGAATGGTTTCAATCCACCGACCTCTGGGTTATGGGCCCAGCACGCTTCCACTGCGCCACGTTGATATTGGTTGACATGTTATTTTAGTGAGCCTGTATTCAATGCCATTCTTTCAAGATCTCGGTCCACGGCGATCCACCCCCGCCGATCCACCCCCGGGTGCGATCCACCCCCGGGGGTGATCCACCCCCAAATTTCATTTTTATTCTAGAACACTCTAGAACGAAATTTTTAGCAGAAAATTCAAGTTTTCGATCTTTTTATACACTTACAAGGGTTTGGCGCCTTATAAGTGTTGTTCGGGCGCTTAAGCCTAAGACTAAGTCTCTCTGAAGCCTAAACCTAAGCCTAAGTACTTCCTTATAAGGTTATTTGTTATCCTTATAAGGGTTATTTGGCCTAAAATAGAGGTCCAAAACCTCCACATTAGAAGCATTTTGGCTTCTAGTCTGTATGTCCCGCAATTTTTACATGAAAAAAATTTGTGTTTCTGGTCTGAGATCTCCCATATTTGGGCATCTCGCCCAAAATAAGATTGAGCTTAAGATCAAGTTTAAGCGTAGCCTAATATAAGGGTTCGTGATCAGCGCGTCCGAAAACCCCCGGGGGTCAAAAAATATCGTTCTAGAGTGTTCTAGAATGAAAAATGAAATTTGGGGGTGGATCATCCCCCGGGGGTGGTTAACCCCCGGGGGTGGTTAACCCCCGGGGGTGGATCGCACCCGGGGGTGGATCGGCGGGGGTGAATCGGCGGGGGTGGATCGCCGTGGACCGCAAGAAATAACTCATCTTTCAAGCAAAAACTAGTCTCTCAAGCAAAAAATTTTCAAATTCCCCTTCCTGAAGCACACATAGTATGTATGCTTCAGGAAGGGGAATTTGAAAATTTTGTATGTATTACATACTGCGCTCGTGCCTGCGTCACATACTCCAATTTTTAGGGTATTATGGAATTAAATTTTCAAATTCTCCGACAGCACTAATCTGAAGCTTTAATGAGACCTAATATGTAATTCATGAGTAATAGTAGAAGATGAGTATAGTTCATCTACATGCCATATTTAAAGCTGCAACCGAACCAAGAGTTTGCCAAGAAATAATTGAAATAAATGAATAGTACGTTTCAGCATAACTAAATTTTAACCAATGCCGATCATAGATACTACAAATACTGCAATACAATTTTAAGGTAAGCGTGTCACTACACATCATACGCCTCGGAAGGCGGATTATATGTGCCCTGGAAGAAGCAGCAGCTGCAAAAGTTGAATAGAGTGCAATTTGCAGACAAAAGTTGTCTTCGGATACTTCTACACTGGGCTTTGTCGGCCATTCCATTTTGGCCGTAATACTCTCGAAATTCTCCTTCGTCACTGATAGTGAGATTTACCCTATGTAAATTGTGACCCTTGGGTTAAATCAAATAAAAATATAAAGTAAAAAAAATCAGTCATTGTCAAGCTTGGTACCGAAAGACATGGGTCGGTTTTCCTGTGGCTGGGAAAACTCGGCGATTTTTTGTCCAATAATCGAGCAATGGTCATTTTGCTCAGTGCAGTACTATTAAAGGCATGATAAGGCATCCCGATCCAGACATTCCGACTATCCATCCTGATAGTTGCACATCACTTATCTGCATTTTCTTGTTTTCTGTTATAAAAGAAAGGAATTTGGATGCAGTGCAAATGCATTTCCTGGTGCTTTTTAACTGTTTAATATTCCATGGTCCATAGTTAATCTGTTTTTGGTCCAAAAATTTCAAGGCTTATTCAAGCACAAGCACAAAAAACTCGCATGGCTTTGATTGCATATTATTTGAGGGATTAATCGAATTATTTTGACTGTGGATTGATTCCCCGAGAGAAGAGTAAGGAGCAAGAGTCCTAGCCAAGTAGACTTTGCCTATTAAATTACTACAAAGGCAATTAATGCTCAAAAAAGCCACTAATTTGATATCCTTTTGCATCTCAACTCGCCAAAAGTCTATTCTCTTGTCTCTTCTCTATTATTGTTGTACTATTAGCGAGACTGCGGAGTAGTATCAGAAATTTATGTGTTATTTTTCCGCTCGAGGCCTTCTTAGATAGGCACCAGTGAGAAAAAGGGTTAAATAAAACGTGCATTTTGTGAAAGGTCAGCGCGATTTCCCCCAGTAAGCTAGCGCGATGCTATCTCCGTCGGTAACGCTTCCTTTTTGTCCATTCTTCCCTTTTTTACTACAAACTACAAAATTTGTAGGTTTATTTTAATTTTTTTAATAGTAGTCAAAAAGGGGAAGGATGGAGACAAGACATATAGACAAACCATTGCAGGCCAAATTTTTTCGCACACGGAGGTTGACAAATGCCGAGGTTTCGCAAACGCCGCAGGTGGCGAGACAGTCCCTGTGGTCGGGAGCGCAGCGCCCTACCTTGGAATGTGAGGGAACTTAGAGCATAGGTATAAACAACATATAAATTTTTAATCAGGCTCCCGGAGGGAGACCCTGGATCTAGTTTACTGATATAGTACACAGATTTATTACAGGTATTATTCTTCGTTCGATGCGTGGCTCTTGCCAAAGCCCAGCCATTTTTTGAATGTATTTTTGAATTTGTTCGTCACATTGGCCAACTTTTCGACGACATGCTTGCCACTTTTTGCTAACCCACTCAATGAGTCCTTAGCTTTACCAAACACACCTTTGACTTGGTCCGGATGATCTGCGGCATATTTGAATGCTAAAAATGAAAATGTTAATAAAAAATTAATAATATACGTTTTACCGGTCGGTAACAGGACACCAGTGATTAGGTCCTGGCGCTTTTCTCGAGGCAGTATTTCAATATAATTGTCGCCTATAATCAAGAGCGATTTTATTTGTAGAGTCGGATTCGGATGTGATCAACTGTCTTTACTAATCCTCACACTCATCATACACAATTGTCTGCGACTTAAGGTCAACTGGTCCCAGGACAACAATAGAGTGAGATCCTCGCCTGAGGTATGAGTGGATTATATAATATGGTTCATGCCCAATCTAAAGGCATTTGGGACGCCCTTTCAGCATTCCCGCATAACCTTTTATGGACATTATCATAGATACATTACACCTTCTTTTTATGTTTAGATAGTTCAAAATTTTAGAACTAAGTAAGAATGCAAGGATAATTTCTATTTGATCAGGGTCCTCAGAAATTAATTTAAATTTGTGCCAATTTGTGTAAGGCTTCCTGTAAAATAGCAGAAAATTTAACAGAAAGTAGCAACTTTTTTCTGTGGACCTAAACAAAAGGTCCAAAGGCGAGGGAACAGTGGAATGAGTGAAAAGACTGGTACTATAGGGTATTCCTGGAGAACTTTCCAGAAAATTGGCAAGTTGTCAGCTTTTGTTTATGGAACTTTGTGGGACTGAAATTTAGTTCGAATTTTACAAATATTCCTAGTGAAATAACTCCACATACCGTTATTGGCCAATGACAATTCTGTGCCAGCACCCGATGTTTGACAAAATAGCACAAATAAAACCGCTAAAAGTGCCAAAATGTTCATTTGTGAGTGACTTTTTAGGGTGACTAAAATTTATTATAAATTTCCTGAACAAACCAGAGCTCAAAAAGGGTGACTCAGGATAGCTCATGACTGTTGCATAATTTGGGTTCAATATTTGTACATCTGCGCCAGTTATCCGATAGCCGTGAAAGTATTGATTCATAATAGCATTGATTCATAATGTTTCCCCGAGCCTTAAATTTTAATTTTAATTCCGAATTTAATTCCAAAAGTTTTTGGAATTTATGGGAAACATTTTCGCAAAAATGAGGTTTTGTTAAATCGAGTCCTTTTCTTACATTTTGTTCCTATGGTGCCGGGCCAAGGTGTTGTTATATAGGGGTGTGTTATATTGAGGGTCACTCCCATATAAATTACTAGGGTCCAGACTGGACCCCTAGTAATTTACCCCTACTGGCGTAGCCAGTACTGGACCGTCCAGTACTGCCTACGCCAGTAGCAGTAAGCAAAGTTAAATTTTTTCATTGGATTGACTTTTTATGGGGTAGGCTTGAGTTGTACGTAGTATATGCTCTAATTCCAAGGGGGAAGGTCGGACACTGCGCGCCCGACCACAGGACTGGCTCGCCACCTGCGGTGGCTCGCAATGTTTATGGGGTAAGGAAATAAGCACTGGTAAGAATGACCCCTAAATTTGACGGGCCGAACGGACATCACTACAATACTAGGTAGAAGATAGAGTTTCCGCCGGGACTGGCCGAGGGTATTGTTATATCGAGGGTGTTGGTATATCGAAGTGTTGTTATATCGAGAGCCGACTGTATTTATCAAGAAAAATTTTATTTAGAAGACGTGTTTGAAATTAAATTTTGTAAATCACTCGTTTGCCAAAATGATCAATTATTCACTAATCAACGAACAATACTCATTCATAATTATTGCAGCCAGTAAGATTCTAACATACCGTTGTTTAGAATTCAACTCAAAACTTTTCATCATTGCTAAAGACATATGTAACCATCAATGTTTTTACTTTAAAAACCGTGAGGTTCTGGTGTTTCTTATGAACTACATATAATAAATTGTTCTTTTCTATTGATTGTGACCTGTGTTGCAACTTTTTTTCGACTTTTTTCGAATACACCCTTTTTCCAAAGACTCAAAACAGCCGGAGGCGCCTCCGGCCGGAGGAGCCTCCGGCTGTTTTGAGCCTTTGGAATAAAATTTTTTAAAGGCCGATACGGTTTTTTTGAGCGCACTTTTCTTACCTAACTTTGGGGATTATACAGGGGTCCCAGTTGAACATTTTTGCCAAAACGGCGATTTTCGCACATTTTTAGGCCAATTTCGATTTTTGCGTCGCCTCCGGCATTTTAGCCGGAGGCGCCTCCGGGCTAAAATTGGATGACTTCAAATAAAATTTTTTACATGAAAATTGTTTATTCTCCGAGATGTTTTCACATCAGTTATAACTAGAGTCTTGTAGCTTTACTATAGGCACAAAATTATTTACTTAAGCATGTAAAATAAAAAACTTTATGCGGAGGTGTATTCGAAAAAAGTCGAAAAAAAG